GTGGTAATTCAGACATTTAAAACAAAAAACTAATCAATAAATATTTGTTATTTACTGATGTAAAACCATATTGTGCAGCTCTAATATCACAGCAACTCTTAACCTGTTGGTTGATGACGCAGATGAAATTATACATTGAATATCAGCACAGAAGCCTCAAAGAATTTAGGTTAATATTCTCATTTTTGGAAAAATCCTTCTTCATGTCTGCAAGTTTAATGTGACGACTGAGGGATTTCAGGGCAAAAACACGTTTTTCTCTCGAGGCGAAAATTCGCAGCATGAAAAACTGTCATGATCATCAAAGACGACTCATAAAATAACCCTGATGGTTAAACAGGGGAAGGTTAAAGGAAGTGGCGAGACATGTCGGCAGAGCTGTATTATCTAGACCCGCTCCAGGAAGCAGAAGATGAGGATCTACGATTGATGCTCATTCCGGCTGACGACTGCTTCGGGTCAACACCTCGGAAACTGCAGGACTTTTTACCTCGTCCTAATGAAATAAGAAGTCACAATAAGCTCAAGGCTGAAGGTGAAAACGCTCTTGATCAATAGAGCGGCTGCTAATTTCATATTCATTACCGTATTCAAGCCTGATTAAAAGTTCCGGTTGTGGTATTTATCTGGGATGGAAATGGCGAAGGGAAGGTGCCATTCGTTAAAGTTATGAAGGATTCTGTTAACATATCGATTCCCCCCTTAATTAGAAATGTGAAGAATAGCTCCTCATTATTTTGAGCGCAGAAGTGGATGATTGGACTGGATGAATCAATGAGTCGCAGTGATTTTCATATCAGCTCCTTACATCTTCCTGAATGAGGAGTTTCAAAGTTACAAGTCTGCGTAAAAAGTTCAAAAGTAAAGCAAAACGATGTCGGATTATAATAAAGTTCGGCTTTCATGAAGAAAACCGTTTCAGACGTAAGCTGTCCTCGTCTGTCCCGTCCTCTCCGCATTAGAAAATAAGTCACCCGCTGCCAACTGACATGGTAAGCATGTCAAATCGATGATCTATTTATATCTCAAAAGCAAAGCGAAGGGACATCGTCCATTTTTTAAAAGCCTCGCCTCAAGCCAAAGCTTTCAAGGCACACATAATTCCACCATTTTCTATTAGAGACACTTCAGCATCTTTTATTTGAATATATATATATATATGTGTGTGTGTGTGTGTGTGTGTGTGTCAGATTTGCTGTTGTGGCAGAGCTGAAGTTGACCTCAAACATGGCTTAAAGGGACAGTTTGAATATTTATATCTGAGGTTCTGGTAGTCAGTAGTTTCTCTGTCATGATTGGATAAAGGAAGGACTCGAGTGCAGGACATGTTCAATTTCAAGACGAAACTTGGAAATTATGACTTAACAGATTTAATGTTATTCTTGTTTGTTGAGATTTTTAGGGTCTTAACTGACGCCATTAGTGTTTTTTCAGGAGTTTACCAGAAGATTGTTGAACTATATTTCAAACTTTCCCCCAGAGAACAAGAGTTGCCAAAACAAATCTTTGATATAATCTTCAAATATATATATATATATATATATATATATATATAAAATACAAAAAAAACAATGAAGAACTTCACCGTCTTCCTTCTTTTTTATTGTGTGAAACAAATCTGAAAATATTAAATTTTGGTTGCTTCTCCGAGGGCTTCGTTGCGTTACCAGGGATGCCATTTTGGTTAAGTTTTAATGTGAAACTTGAACAGTAAAATCAATATTCCACAATGTTCCTGTGTGCGGCTCCGACAGGAACGCTGCTCTCCCAAAAAAAAAAAAAAAGCGAGCTCAGAGGGAGTCCAGAGGAGCCGGGTCAAATATTCATGAGCCTTCAGAGCACCGCTGAGATGTCACTGCAAGGACGGAGCGAGGATCGCTGCTCTTCAAAGTGGGAATGGAAATTGTGCCGAAAAGCGCATCAGGAGATGATTTTCTTTCTTACATTCACAAAGATTGTTATTTTTGCTTTATTATTTAATGACTTGTGTAGCTCTGAACCCGGGGAATATTACTGCACAAAGGGGAATGATGGATGAATTTTAAAAAGAAACAAAAGTTTATATATACACTTGGACTTTTTTCATCTGTTTGGTGACAGAACGAGAACACGAGGATGTTAAACTTTACTCATCCAGCTGCTTTCAGAGTCAAAAATATTAATAAATCAAAGCAAATATAAAATTATTTTCTCACAATTGTGGTTTTGCTCCATGTACCTCATATCTGCATTTGTATATTAATTCATTTTTGTTCTGACTAATAATACTTTTTACATAAAAACATGTACCATATATAGACATTTTCACAACCCCATTAATTTTCTGAATTGAATTTAAAGCTTTTATAAAAATAAAAAAAATATGATTTTTATTTATTTGTTAAAACTGCCACCTTGTTGTTACACTTTAACATGAGACAGATAATGTTAAAAGAATAATCTCCTCTACCGACTTCCTGGGCTACTATTAATGTCTGAAGAAATTCATCAAAAACAACCAATCAGAGACACGAGGCGGGCCTTATGGCTGTCAATCACCCTCATATACTCACTGCTAAATATGTTAATTATGGAGAAACAACTGAAGGTGGTTCCACCTGGCTCTAACTTTTTCCTCTGTTCACGTCTTTTGTTTTATGAGAAAAACATCTTTAAATTTTATTTATTCGGGCAGGAATAAATAAAATTTAAGGAAGAGATTGAGGCGAAGCAAACATTAAACAGACGGAGTTTAATGAAGATGTTTGGCTCATTGTTATTGCTTTAAATGAGGTTAAACTCTCCTATCTAAAGATAAGTGGGCTTTTAGAGTTTCCCCTTAAGAAAACTAGCTAAATTATTAAGTTTCCATAAAACTTGATGAAGACATCTTTCAGGCTGTAGTTGCTGACAGAGATGAATTACTGTAATACGCCTAATAAAAGGCTGCACAACCATGTAATTTCCTCTCTAACCTGCCTTTGGCAACATCAGATGTGCCAACTTCAAACTCTGAAGAGTGAACAGGAACGAAGCTTCACATTTAATTTTAGCCCTCAGTCGGGTATCATTTTATAACCTCAGCGTCATATAAACCCACTTCTGAACTTAGCAGCACCAATTCTCTTCCTCATATTGTGGATGATTTATTTTTATGTGTGTAGCTAAAATGGGAAAAGTTTTGTCTGTTTTAATCTTCTCTTGGCTTGAACACAGTGGTTAAACTTCTCCAGATTGCAGAACAGCAAAAATATCCAGCCGATTCAGCAATTTCCTCTCAATCAACAACTGATTGAGTGGTTTTGCCTCATTGATCTGATGGCTCCCCAGGGAGGGGTTTCTATGCGCTGATGCCGCAGGTTATTAGCCAGCCGTTCTGTTTGCTTTTGAATAAAACAGCCCTGTTCATGCAGATGGAGTCAAAGTTGACGCTGTTTACTCCATTAGAAGCTGGCATTGCTGACGGCAGGATCAGTGTGTGCTCTATCAAAGCAAACAATAGGCTGCGACGCGTTTATGGCGCCAACGCCAAATAACATTTATAGGTTCATAGATTCCAGAAACAAGAAGAGTTGATGGTTCCTGAGCTCAAATTTCTAGGATTTTACTTGAAGGACACAAAAGTATTCAACTTTTACCATTTTTATTTCGTCTACAAATCAAACAACAAAATTTAGCTTTTTTTTTTTTTAGACAAAAAAAAATTTACTTTAATGTCAGAGTGAGAATAGATTTCTACAAAATATTGTCAGTTAAATAAAAATAATTTCACATAAAATACTTTAAAGTTTCCACAGATATCATCTGCTGAAGTCCAAATTTAAAAACACTTTCTGCTGACGAGTTTAATAAAAACGCAGATTTGATTCTTCAGCTGAATTTGGTGCCAATATATTTTAGCTTCCTTTACAATTGCGCTAATAGAAAATGCAAAAATAAATTTGGTTCATGAAAACACACCAATTTCAAATAAACTCACATTTTTTGATAAAAAGTTTTTGCGCTACGATGAGGTGGATTTTCATATTGAAATAGTTGCAACCACCACTTAACCAAATGAGAAATGAGTGAAGTACTAAAGGTATTTATAGTTTAGGGTCACACAGGAAAATTATAAACAAATACGTTTGAGCAACCTAAGTATATTTTTTAAGAAAAAAGTCCAGTTAACACCAATTATCAAACAATAAATGGAGAAAATAAACTTAGAATATCCACCGTCATAAAAAATAAAAATTAATTTTCAAAATCAGGGCAGTCTTCTAACCACTTAGCTTTAAAACTCACTCAAAAAAATTCCCAATAAAAACATAGACTCCAGTTTAGACTTTCAGTGTAACAGTTCAGTTAGATTTAAGTGTAAAATGCAATAAAACCTAAAATAAACCAAGAACACCCATTTCTAGCAGAAACGGTTACAAGCATCACTTCACAATAAAACAGTTTAATTTCCCAAAGCTATGTTACTGACTGAGCCAGTGGTTCTTAACCTTTTTTGAGGTACCGAACCCCCCAGTTTCATATGCGCATTCACTGAGCCCTTCTTACCCCCGACACACAAAATACTTTGTGGTATTCTGATTTAGTAATGTAATTATATTAGCTGCGTTACCACCCCCACGCCACTAGAGGCAGTATCAACCGCGAAAAGATGCACAAGTTCAAATCCATGCTGAGAGTGGAGCTCCTTCAATCAGTGCTCCTCCGCAGCTCTGATTGGCTCAGCAATGTAACGTGATCCTCTACAGCAGCTCTGATTGGCTCAGCAATGTAACGTGATCCTCTGCAGCAAGTGATGGCAAAGCAGGGAGAGTCATCACGACTTTACCCAGGTGTGTCTTTACCTCCGCGGCAGGGGGTCCACCGGACCCCTGAGACCGACTCATCGAACCCCAGGGGTTCGATCGAACCCAGGTTAAGAACCACTGGACTGAGCTACTCCAGTTGTTTTTTCCAGTCCAAACAAAAACTGAGCAACGTTAGCCAAATAGCAAGCAGCTGAAACAAAACAACAGACTCACCAACGGAGAAATCCCGGAACAAAACGCACATCGCCCACTTCGGCATAAACGCATTTTTTCATATAACAGCAGTATTTACGACGAGTATTTCCAATAAATAAAACTTTTCTAGCTCTCCTGAAATGCGCCCCTTCTACGTAGTTTTCCATTTCTTTTTCTTCAGTCTGCATTGCGTTTCTTCTTTGACCGAAACTGCAGACGTATGGGTCTCTAGTGCCCTCTACTTGACATTTAAAGAACTAACAAATTTACTCAAAATTTAAAACAGATGAGCAGGAGGTTATATTTCGCAGAACTTCAATTGAAACACTTTTTTTTTTCCCGCATCACGAGTCATGTGATAAATAACCAGATGTTACCACTGGCGGAAAAGACGAAGGAGACGACAGGAAATAGTAGAAGGATGGCAAAATGGCGTCACTAGGAGGCCATTTTAACAGGGATTTAGAGACTTTTGAAAACCACTGTATGTCAAATCTCAACACAATGTTGTGTGAGATACATTTGCGAGTGCACCATTAAGGTAGAAGAGGATGTCGGTGAAGTTTTAGTGAGTTTTAGCATCAGCTGGGAAATCAGAAGCAACAACTCAGCTGCAAACAATTCACACTTCCACAGTAAATACAAGGTGTTTCTCAGAGCTTTTAAACGTTTTTTCAACACATCTGAGTATTCAGTAATAATCAGCTTAATTTGATGTTGAAGTTAGGATTTATTTTTTTAAAACAAAATGATGACCTGCATGCTGGGAACTGGCTCTGGTGCTGAGCTAGAGCCCCCAGGGAGTGATGGACTTTTCATTTGACCCTCATTAAAAATTGATGGCCTGTAATAATAGAGATCAGAGGGAAGATTTACGTGTCACAGCACACCACTTAAAGTCAAAGGCGTTCTTTATAAGCTTATTCTTGGACTCATAAGCAGAAATGACTCATAATAACCTTATTTTATTAATAAAAAGTTGCATTTGTAAGTCTTCTTCCTTTCCCAAGTCACTCTCATTATTCAGGTTGCACAGCTGCACTAAAAGTTTACCTTCATATATTTAAAACTCCTGACAGGGAAGGAAAAATATCTTCCCTTGTGATTAGTTATCTGCAAGTTAATTAGATAAGTGAGTAACGTTATTATGCACACAGCTTGTCAGAATCTGGCAGGAAAACGACCTTCTGCAAGATTATTTTTTTATTTTAGAGTATTTTTGTATCCGTAGAGTGCAATTTAAATGCACAATGTTCAAAAGTGTATCTTGTATTTGTCTGCAAGCAGCAAAAATTGTCAGGGAGATGCACTAAAAGATGTAAAAATGCCATGGAATTACACTGACATCTGGTGGAAAGAATAACTTTTTTTTAATAAATGCAATTTTCTTTTTAAGATAAGAACATTTACAGGACAAAAGAGCGGACAGGTGGTATTTATACACACAGGTGAGGGTAATAACCAAGTCAAAACAGGTGTTAAACAATTAGCAAGGAGAATTAGAGGTTCTTCATAACGGAAAATGCTTGAGAAAGTTATTACCTGCAGGGGGTTTGGAGGATTTAAAAAACCAAATATAACTTCTGCTTTCCTTGGAATCACTTTCGCTACTTTCCCCCTCTTCACCGCAACATCTGCGTCTGCACCTATCCATTATTCACGCAGCGTTGGTTCTTCCTCAGAGGTCACGCTGCTCTGTAAAACTTTTAATCGGCAGCAGCTGCCAACCCTGATGGGCTGCAGACCAGGCGATGCTGGGCGGCGTGAGGCGCTCGGCTGGAGGTTCTGGTGGGAGCACAGCGGCCGACCTGCCCGTTAAAACCTGTTTAAGAAGCTAAAAAAACACCACCAGGCAACTCTGATGCAAAAAAGATCAAACAGAGTTGATGTTTTAGTTTCTGATTATTTGACTCCTGGTATCAGAATTTAATCCCCACTTTATTATTTATATTCATTCTGCATATGACCCAAATCCAATGTTTTGTTTTGGGTTTTTTTTGGGTCGTTTAGAATTAAAAAAATAAACGTATTAAGTCAATTCAGCACTTATCAAATCAATATCATGCAATACTAAACCTCAGATATCTGTATCAGTATTGAACATTGCATTGGTGCTTCCCCATTAAACAGCATATTTAGACGTAAATTACACAAAATTCTTCAGATACAAAGTTAGTAGTCGAGTTTGGCACAGTTTTATTATGTTTATGTAAATTCGTTGACAGCAAAGCAGCATCATGACAGTCAAACTGCGAAAAGGCTCCTATTACTCTCATCTATCATCATCTTACTTGCATTTAAACAATTGAGTCTCAGCTCTAACAGTGAAATACTTTGAATTTTCAGGCATAAACAAACCATACCTCTGCTAATCTTCTTCCTGTATTATTAAAAAAGTAAACATTTACCCATCTGTCTGTCTTTATCTAATTTCATTGTGGAAATAATGACACGTCTTGCTTTCCGTTAGAAGTTGGCTTTTTTCAGTCTTCCTCTGCTGTGAAAAATATTTCTCCTTCATTCAACCTTTTAAAGACTTCATCTACAATTAGCTTCCAGCCTCACTAATCTCTTCTCATCAGGGTTCGCCTTGCAGAGACTGGCTCTGCCTGCGAGCCTCATTGAGGACAATGTCGCTGCTGGAGTGATCCGATATTCCGCTGTCCCAAAACACAGAGCCTGATGGGAGGCAAACGAGGAAAAACACTGATTTGGGATGTTGTTGTTGCACAGACAGGAAGAGGAAATGCAATGCGACACGTACTGCTGCTGCTGGTGACGTTGCTGCCGAAGGAGGAGCTAAGGTTGCTGTGTTGGTTGGCCGATGTCGTAGCTGTAGCCACCACCGACAACTTGTTGTGTGTGGCAGTCCGGCTGCATTCTATGGAAAAATACATGATTATATCAAAATCAGGCTTTCTGTGTGTTTTTAGGTCCTTATAAAGTAACTATATTTGGTAAATAAAATAAAACATTATTCTTATTACTCCAGTCTTATCTTTCAGTCACTAATATAGTTAAATAAAGTGAAAAAGAGCAACTAAGCATAATAGAATCCACCATTTTAGAGTAGAACTTAGCTTAGCCATAGCTTGTTCTGGGCAAACTGAGCAAACAGAAACCATCCAAAGTAATAAAATACACATATTATCCTACTCAAGCATGAATAGACTGTAACTTACACTCTCATAAAAACCATAAAACTACCTAAGAACAACAACTTCTTCTGCCGATCGGCACTGCTGCCTGCACAAAATATTACTCACAAAACGGCACCGCCACCTAGTGGCGACGATGACAACTACAACTCAGCTCACCTGAGTTCTCAGACAGACGCCAATTTCCGCAACACAGAAACGTCCTCCACATCCTGCGGACATTTTCCTTTACCACACAGTGGAAAATGAAGACAAACAAACCTACACAAGACATTTTTATCGGTTAGAATGCAGTTTAAAAAAATAAATAAAGATAAAGATGTATATTATGCTTAACATTAAGGAGTGGATTAGCTCTGATTAGCGCTCACCTAGCAGAGAGTTGCATATGGTGAACATGTATAAAAAGGCGAGCCTGGCTTCTCCCCAGGCAAACAGAGCGAAGCCCCAGGTGAGGCCGAGCAGCAGGACAAGGCCGATGATGCTTCTGATGTCGGTCATGGTGCTCCGGTTGGGAGACTGGTTGTGAGGGTTCTGTTTCTTGATCCGGGCCAGCTGGACCATAACGACGATGAAGACCGCCAGGCACAAGACAAAAATGAGGAGGAAGTAGGCCACCACGCCCACATAAAAGGCGATGTCATTACGCAGCCAGCAGCTGCAGAGAGACACATGAAAACAAGCTTAATGTGGGTTAAAGACGGTATGCTAGCAGAGAAGCTAGCCAAACATAACAACATAAAGTCGGCTGTGATGCTACCATTCCAACAAAAACTTAATTTCTAAATAATGAAGCAAAAGATTTACACATTATTCTTTGTGTTTGCATGTAGATTACGAGCAAAGACACCTTTATACAAATGTTAAAGTTTGTGCTAGCTAACTATTAGCCCAAAAAGAAGTATCTCGCCATTTCTAGTAGCAAAGAAGTATTGTTGAAGATAGTTGAAACCATTTGAATTCTAATTATCGTGCAAACTAGCTAAAGCTCTACAGCACAACTAGCTGCTAAAGTAAGCTATAAAACGGCTAATTTTTTTTACTGAAATCAAATTTCAACTTGTAGCTTTTGCTTCATACTTTTTAGCATACCTTAATGAAGCAAAATAAAAGTAACTTCCAAAAGTTACTGCTTTCATACTGGGGAGCTTGTTTATGTTCCATATACTGATTAAATAACAGCTACTTTAAATTAAATTAATGAATGAATTAAAATTAACAGCAAATCCTGTTCTTGTTTACAAATGCCTAGCATTAGCATAACAGCTAGTTATTACAATAGGTTAGAAAAGTTCCACTTTAAAACATTCCATATTAAGAAGTTATGTTTAGTTTTGAGTAGTGGTTCTAGTAATGATTCAAAGTTTTTTTTTTGTTCATCTGTGTTGTTTAGGATAAGGAATATCAGCCACTCTGATTAAACTTAGCAGCAAAAACTTGTATGTCTGTAGGACCATAAGACTGGATCCTTTATTTTGAATTTGCTTACAGTACCAATATCTTAACATAAATCTTCCCAAGAAAATGCATCTGCATTTTTAGGGATAGTTTTGCTTGTTAGATGATTGAATGTTGGAGAAACTGAAGAAAAATAATAAAAATCGTACAACTTATCAGACGTCCCATCTTCGTATTTTCCATTCGGAACCAGACCGTAGTTGTTTTTGTCCACTGCTACAATAATGACCACCACAAAGAGAGGAATACCTGGTAGCAACAGTAATTAGACAAAAATAGTTGTCAGTGCAATTAATAATAAACATATTTAACTTTTGGAGCCTAATTTAAGCATTTCTTACCCCAACCCATAAGGGAGAACTTCAGCATGTATTTACTCAGGTAGGGCGCGAACACGCGCACGATGCTCAGGTACATGTGCAGAGCTTCAAGCCCCGCCCACGTGAATGAGGACAACAGGAAGTAGTGCAGGAAAAAGGCAGTGCTGATGCACAGGTTGACGTTTTCGTAGTTGGACAGCCAGCCGTCCAGCAGAAAGACCAGGTTGAGAAGCAGGAGGGACAAGCAGAGCTGGACCAGGATCTTGGCTGGAATATCGCGGAGGAGTTTCCTGCAAAGAGATTCATCATTACTGCTTACAGAAATAACCAATGGATATGTAGAAGTCTGTAGCTTGAGTGACATAAGAAGTTTATATATCTTCCTGAACATTTACTTGTAAGTTAGTTTGTCTTATTCAAGTGTTTGCACTAGAACAGGGGTGTCCAAAGTGAGGCCCAGGGGCCATTTGCAGCCATTGGAACTATTTTGGGCGGCCCTTGAGTCTAAGTTCAAAACTAGAAAATTTGCATTTTTGCAGAAAATGCAGTGCGGATGGTATTTACTGAATGTTTTTGGTGAAAATGCAAACATCCCACCGAAACAGTATTAGAAATTAGTGCAGAACAGTGCTTACAAAGCTAAATTAGAAGCAAAAGAAGCTAAAAAGCTAAAACTAGCTAAAATACTAATGATTGCATCTAGGCTGACACTTGCATGTTGGCCTAAAGTAACATAATCCATGCAGAGTGAAAAAACTCACAAAAAGTTAAAATTAACTAAAAAGCCAAATTAAAAAGTAACGCTAGCACCAAGGATAGCACTAGCATGCTAACCTTCAGTAACATACTACAATCGGAGTCAAAAAAACCCATGTAAAAGTGAAAATTAGCTAAAAAGCCAAGGCTAAGCTAAAAAAGTAAGCTATGTAGGCTAGCACTAACACAGTGACTACAAAAAGGATACTACATGCCGTACAAAAAAAAAAAAAACAATGTAAAAGCTCAAATTAGCTAAAATGATTTTAGCATAAAAGGTATCAGAATTATGTTGGTTTTTGCTAGCATGGTAGCTCACAATGCTAGCAAAGACCTACAGCATTCACAGCCTAAAATTAGTTAGCCAGTTCAGACAGTTGACGCAGATCCACATTTAAAATCAACATTGGTGATACAATTAAGATACAATTAAAATTTTAAAATGGAAAATGTAAGTGTATGTTTTGTTTTTAATCTGGCAAACGTGGAAAGAGCTACAGATATCTGACTACTTTGTGTATTTCACTGTACTGTGTGCTTATTTTGTTTATTTAGTATGTAAAAATAAAAAAAATAAAATATTTTTTGTGATAATAAATAGAACATGATTTGTTTTTTTTTTTTAACCAAAAATCCTTGGTAAGATTTTGTGTTTTTGCAGTGTAGTGTTCTTACTCAAATAACATGTGTGTTATCAGGGTGACGGCTAGAAAAACCGCAGATATTCCACATCCAATGTAGGTGAAGAAAGTCAAAATCTTTGCCTGCTGAGGGTCAGATATTCCCTCTCTGGATAAATCCTGTTTAAAGCCCAAACGGACACAAAATAATCAGACGTATTTAGGCCACACCGTTGTATTACTTAGTAAAAGGAGAAATGTTTAGAAATACCAGCAGGATGGCAAAGGAGGTGAGATGGTTGCAGCTGCAGGTTGTGTATTCAGGAGTGGCGCTGACGACGGAGCAGCCGGTATCATCCCAGCCCCCCAAACCGTCTGAAACAAAAAAAAAGTTGAGTCAATGTCAGTTTCCTAAAGCTGCTAACAGACCTGAATGTTTGTCCTCACTTTTCTTTGTGAAATTCCAGAAGACGCATGATGTGACATTATTCTGCAACAGAAAGAAAGATATTAAAACAGGAAAAAGAAGTGTGTTGTGAGCTTACGTTGATGTTACTTCTGGTTTTCCTTTAAATTCTATGTTGAAGGCTTTATCTGAGTATGTTCTGCATTAATACTCACTTGAGTTAAGTTGCTGTGAGTGATGGTAAACGTGACGTTCTCCTGCAGGTTGCTGATGGACAGATTGGCCACACTGGACCCGAGAACTGGACTGACAGCCGTTTGGTCGTCTAAACTGGAGTCCTGCAAAAAGAAATCAGTTTTTTCATCAAACATGTCTCAAAGTTGAACATCTGAGCAGGTTTTCACATCCTGAACTGAGTAAAAAAATATTTTGTTGACTGATTAACTGAAGTGTTTGCAAACAAATTGAATTAATCTGGAGCCGTTTTTGCATCTTTCAATGTTGTATTCATAGAGTTTAGGCAACATGTGTGAAGTTAAAATCTGAGAATACTTGAGATCCTCTCTAAAAATACTTTTAAGTTCCTGCTTTAATATCTCAAACATGCTTGACTTACTTTGGAAATGTGCGAAGCTGCTGCTTTGAAATGAAAAGACTTGTTGACTCAGTGACACTGAATGCAAATTAATTCCTTCATATAAACAACTGTGCACTGCTTTGTGTTGGTCTATTCTATAAAACCTCCATTTAAATATATTGAAATCTGGTTTTATGGTGACCAAATTTGAAACCAGTGAGCCTATCAGCAGAAATGTACCTTAAAGAGGGAATTATTTTTGTAGAAAGTGAACTGGACTCTGCTGGCCTGCTGCTTCTCTTCAGGACTGAGGCCTGAAGTCACGGAGGAGGGCAAGCCCAATGAGCCCAAAGCAGGAGCTGACCTTTTGACCCTTCTGACATGTTGAAGCTGGAGAAAAAAGGCAAAAGCAAAATACAAAATTGACCTGATGCATCATACATTGTTCCTGACTGGTTCAACTCGCAGACATGAGGTCAGCGTTAGGTCAAGATTAAAACCAGGATAACCAAAGTTTCCTAACTTCACAATAACAGTAAAAAGAAAAGGACGTCTTTTGCTGCTCTCTGGTTTGTAAATGGGGTTACTGGTAAATCTTCAGACATGGGGCCCAACTTTATCTGTTTGCTGCTCAGTGTTGGTGGACGTCTGGTAAATGGGTCACATACTAGCATAAATGACCAGCATTTTTAAATTAACAGCTAGAAACAGTTAAAACTCTACCATTATTAGATTTAAATACTGTTTTTATGGACTTCAGGCTTATTCGTATCTGGTTTTGTACATAAGTTCTGCAGTTTCACCTCTTTATGGATCCGTTTTGTACCTGTTAACAAAATGGTCTTCAGTCTCAAACTCAGGTCTGTTTGTCAAGTATTGCTGGTGAAAGTGTCAATCTGTTTTCTAGAGTCTCCTAAAAGTAAATCAGGACCTTCATCAACCTCCAAATGACAGATATTATCCAATAGGCTAATAAAACACATGAAACCACGAGAAGACTATAAACAATACTTAAAAACTTCTACTGTGCAAGTAGGTATTCAATGTTGCTAGAAATATCTTGTGTCAGACACATTTTGTATCCAAAAGAGTCGAATAAAAATGGCTAATAACCAATAGTAAAATCACCAATAGTAGTAACAACGTTGCTGGTTACTGGAATATATGTAAGCTGTGATATCCAAAAACACAAAATCTTACTGAGTATTTTTGGTCTAGTTTCTATTGCAAATATTTTAGTACACTTCCAATAAGACAAACTAACTTAAAAACAACATTTTAGCAATATATAGAGACTTGCTTTACGTAAATAGTTCCTCAATACTGATGAAAAAGTTCTAGCAACACTGGCAGATTATTTCACTTATAATAAGACAATATTTAATTTATTTGCCAATGGAACAAGTACTTTTCCATCAATATTAAGGAACTATTTACTTTTTAAAAAGCCTCTATTTCTTACTAAGAAGTTATTTGTAAGTTTGTCTTATTTCAAGCTTACTAACATATCTGCACTAGAAACTAGGCGAAAATACTTTTTGCAGTATGTAGACGTTTAAAATAATCAAGTCTTTTGATTACCTGTACATCATCGATGTCGAAAATCTCAACACTGGTTTCAAGAAAGTCGGTCCAGTCCACTTTCCTTACTGCCAGAACCAGAGAGTCTGAGGACAAGATGCCAACATCTTCTGCAAATTCCAGCTTCAGAGCCAAAGTATCCACCATACGAATCAGACTGTCATCAGCAAATAAAAAAAACACATTATAATTAGAAATGGCCGTAGTCGTGAGTTGGTGTTTGAGGCGTGTATCAGTCAGACCTATTTGTTGATCCAGACAGAACCTCTGGATCACCATTTATGAGGTTGTTTATGACGTTAAGGACGTTTTGTCCCACTGATTGAGACACAGTTGGGCCCGACAGAATTTCCTCCAGGTCATCCACCAATTTAGACACCTGAAATATGTATAAATAAAGTTATGCTCTCATATTTTACAAAAGTAACAGTACTTCAGTTCGGCAGTTGCGTCACCTGAGAAGAGTTTAGCTTGGACACATCTTCTGTTTGAGCCAACAGCTGATCTGCATGTTCCTCCTTACTTTTTGCACTTGTACTGGACTTCACAGTGGTTGTCAAAGTAGTTCCAGTCCCTCAAAAAACAAAACAAAGATCAACCCAATAAGTTAGAAACCTTGTTGGTTTTCTTTTTGTTCTATGAAACTCTGACTAAAAATTAGAAGATATAATCTTTACTCACTGGCCACTGTGCTTGTTGTAGTTTTAATGGTTGGGAGAGTTGTTTTCTGAGACACTTCAGTTGTAGTTATGATTTTATTTGTTGGATTGTGAGCGGTTGTAGACGGAGTTGCAGTGGCAGCAATGACAGGAGTCGCTGAGTTATAACTCAATGGTTCATTCTCTTCAATAGTCGTGACAACTGCAGTGGAGCTGCTGTCATTTTTGTGTACAGTTGTCAAGGGAGTCGCACTGACTGTGGTCTGGTTTTCAGTCTGGTCTGTTGGTTTTCTGTTGTCAGGAACTGAAGTCCTACTTTCTGCAGTAAAGTGTGGATGTGTAGTACTGGTAACTTTTGTCATAGCTGCTGCAACTGCTGTGCTTTTGGCAGAGGTTGTGCTCTGTTGTGGTTCTACAACTGGTGCAGTAGTCATGTAGGATAAAGTTGTTGCCTTATGAGGAGGTTCAGTTGCTGTTGTGTAAGTGATGGGAGACTTAGTTGTAGTGTACAAAGAGCTGGAATCATCACGTTTAGTTGTGTTGTGTACTGCTACAGCTTTGCTAGTTGTGTTATTATTGGGTGATGCAGTTGTGAAATCATGATTTGGTGTGGTATCATACATATTTGTAAAATTGCTGCCGATGGTTGCCATGTTCCGATTTGTTGTGTAATTGTTGCTTGTTGTAGGATTAGAGGGTGTTGTGTAATTGTTGCTTGTTGTAGGATTAGAGGGTGTTGTGTAATTGTTGCTTGACGTGTTTGGTTTGTGTAGGGTTGTCAAATTGATGCTAGCTTGAGTAGCTTCGTAGGCTGTCATATGATTGTTTCTGGTTGTAACTTGGTGATCTGCTACATAGCTGCTGCTGGTTGTTGTAGCATTGCTTTCTGGTAAGTACCTACTGCTGGATGTTTGGACTGTTGTATGAATGTTGCTAGTTGTTGTTGTATTGTGTTGCATTAAGTAACTGGGTGTTGTAGCATTATAGTGTGCTTTGTTATTGTTGCTTGTTGTTGTAGGTTTGGAGGGTGTTATGTTATTGTTGCTTATAGAAGGATTAGCGGGTGTTGTGTTATTGTTACTTATAGAAGCATTGGAGGGTGTTATGTTATTGTTGCTTATAGAAGGATTAGCGGGTGTTGTGTTATTGTTGCTTATAGAAGCATTGGAGGGTGTTATGTTATTGTTGCTTGTTGTAGGTTTGGAGGGTGTTGTGTTATTGTTGCTTATAGAAGGATTGGAGGGTGTTGTGTTATTGTTGCTTGTTGTAGGATTGGAGGGTGTTGTGTTATTGTTGCTTATAGAAGGATTAGCGGGTGTTGTGTTATTGTTGCTTGTTGTAGCATTGTAGAATGTTGTGTGGTTATTGCTGGTTGTTGTGGGACTGTTGCTGGGTGTTGTAGAATTGTATACTGTTGTGTTATTGTTGCTTGTAGGATTGTAGAATGTTGTGTTATTACTGCTTGTTGCTGTAGGATTTGAGGGTGTTGTGTAATTTTTGCTTGGTGTTGTGGCATTGTATACTGTTGTGTGGTTATCGCTGGGTGTTGTAGTACTGTAGAACATAGTGTTATTGTTGCTGGTTGTTGTGACATTGATTACTTTTGCTTTACTGTCTGTGAGTGTTGTAGCATTATATAATGTTGTGTTATTGTTTGATGTTGTGGGAATGTTGCTGGGTGTTGTGGCATTGTAGGTTGTGTGATTGTTGCTGGATAATGTGGAATTGTCTACAGTTGTTTGATTGTCAGTGAGTGTTGTAGCATTGTAGAACATTGTATTATGACTGCTTGTTGTAGGATTGGACGATGTTGTGTGATTGATGCTGGGTGTTGTGGCATTGTCCACTGTTTGATTATCTGTGAGTGTTGTAGTTTTGTAGAATGTTGTGTGGTTGTTGCTGGGTGTTATAGTGTTATAGAGCTCTGTGTTATTGTTGCTGAGTGTTGTAGGATTGTCTAAAGTTGTTTGATGCTCAGTGAGTGTTGTAGCTTTGTAGAGTGCTGTGTTATTGTTGCTGAGTGTTGTAGGATTGTGGATTGTTGTGTAATTGTTGTTGGGTTTTATAGTGGCAAAGAGTGTTGTGTGATTGATGCTGGGTGTTGTGGCATTGTCCACTGTTTGATTGTCTGCGAGTGTTGTAGCATTATAGAATGTTGTGTTATTGTTTGGTGTTTTGGGAATGTTGCTGGGTGTTCTGGCATTGTAGACAATTGTTTGATTATCTGTGAGTGTTGTAGTTTTGTAGAATGTTGTGTGGTTGTTGCTGGGTGTTATAGTGTTATAGAGCTCTGTGTTATTGTTGCCAAGTGTTGTAGGATTGTCTAAAGTTGTTTGACGCTCAGTGAGTGTTGTAGCATTGTAGAGTGCTGTGTTATTGTTGCTTGTAGGATTGGAGGGTGTTGTGTTATTGTTGCTGGGTGTTGTAGGATTGTGGATTGTTGTGTAATTGTTGTTGGGTTTTATAGTAGCATAGAGTGTTGTGTGATTGTTGCTGGGTATTGTGGAATCATCTACAGTTGCTTGATTGTCAGTGAGTGTTGTGGAATTGCTGGGTGTTGTGTAATGGTTGGTTGGTGTTGTAGCATTCTGGATTGCTGTCTGATTGTTGTGTTTTGTGGCATTGAACTCTGCTGTGTAGTTGTTGCCTGGTGCTGTTGCATTAGAGTCTGTTGTGTGGTTGATGTTTTCAGTTGTGTGACTGTTGCTGGATGTTATAGTGCTATCGTCTGTTGTGTTGTTGGGGTTTGTGAGTTTGAGCTCTGTTGTGTATTTCTTGCTGGGTGTTGTATCATAATGAATTATAGTGCTATTGTTGCTAGGAGTTGCTACATGATGTTCTGCTCTGTCGGGTGTTCTAGCATTGTAGGCAGTTGTTTGATCATTGCTAGGTGTTGCATATGGCTTTGTGTAATCTGAAACAACAGCTGTTAAAAGAGTGTTAGTCTCTGTAGTTACATTTTCCAGTTTTACTGGAGGATGGGTTGGAGATGTTACATTTTGTATGTTTGTCAAAGATGGAGGACTGGTGTTACTTGTAGTATTTGCTGCTATGTTGCTTTTGGTACTTTCATTGTTTGCTGTATTTCCATCATTGTTTTTTGCTCCACTGCTTGTAAAGACATTCAGTGTAGTTACGTTGGACACTGCTAAGCGACTGGTGGAGGGTGTAACAGTAGATGTGTCGTAAGTTTTTGTTTCACTGGATGGTAGGAAACTGGTTGAAGGTACAGTTGCATAACTTGGGTGTGATTCAGTTGTAGTTTTAGTGGATGAAATTGTACCATAAGTTCTTGTTTCATTGGATGGTAGGAGACTGGTTGAAGGTACATAACTGGGGGGCGACTTTGTTGTAGTTTTAGTGGATGAAGTTGCACCATAAGTTCTTGTTTCATTGGAAGTGAAGACACTGGTTGAAGGTACATAACTGGGGGGCGACTTTGTTGCAGTTTTAGTGGATGAAGTTGCACTATAAGTTCTTGTTTCACTGGATGGTAGGACACTAGTTGAAGGTACAGTTGCATAGCTGGGATGCAGTTCAGTTGTAGTTTTAGTGGATGTAGTTGTACCATAAGTTCTTGTTTCGTTGGATGGTAGGACACTAGTTGAAGGTACATAACTGGGGGGTGACTTTGTTGTAGTTTTAGTGGATGAAGTTGCACTATAAGTTCTTGTTTCATTGGATTGTAGGACACTGGTTGAAGGTACAGGTGCATAACTGGGGGGCGACTTTGTTGTAGTTTTAGTGGATGTAACGAGGCTTGTTGTAGTTGCTGTTGTCTGCTTGTGGATTGGTCCAGTTGTAGATCCATTGTAGTTTTTTGTTTCACTCAAACTAGCTGTAGTAAACACTGTTTGATTGGTTGATATTTCGGAGTGGACCGTGGCATTCTTGGAAGATTCTGCAGCTGACGTTAAGTTGTGCATTGTTGAGTTGTTTGGTGGAGTGAAACTTGTGTTTGGAGACCATGTCAGCTGTTTTTGCTCAGCGTTTGCAGTCGTGTGGGTCACAGATGTTGGTGAAGTGAGGCTGTTAGTCTGAGTTGGGCTTGTTGTTTGAGGAACTGGAGGGCAACTGTCCGCCAGGAGAACAGCAAGAGTCTCATTAGCTTCACTGCAGACAGAAAAAACAGAAGTTAAGAGACAACTTGGTGGGATTTCATCAGCTAGCTTTGCTTATTTAGGATAATTGCAAAACAAGACAGGAAGTGTTAATTAGGAGTGCATCGATTTATTGGCACCAATTTCCTTAATTTTGGGAGATCGGCCAATACTTACATGTGAAGCTGATCTAATCTGCCTCAGCAAAGGCTTAAAAATCCACCACTGCCCTCTTCTGTACTTTTTCAGTTAACAATGGTCACCCCACTGTTACCAACTCAGCCACTTTCTTATTGTACTTAGCAAAATTTAAGACAAAAAAAAAAACTGACATTGGCCAAAATTGGAATCAGCAGGTCAGGCTTTTTAAAGATCGGTAATTGGAGATCGGCCAGAAAACTGCAATCGGTGCACTCCTACTTTTAATGGTACGTATTGAAATGGCAGCATTATGCAGAATGTAGGGCCGTAACAAAATCTAGCAAACATTAAAATGTATTACTCTTGTTAGCTGGATGTACTGTTACATCCTGTGTTGCACCTCTACGAGACTATAAGTGAAGTCTAAAAGTAAAAACTGAGTTTATTAACAGTGAATTTAACTTGTTTCTGGTGCTTTTAAATGGTGGAAATAATATTTCTTCTCTCTAGTTATCTCAAAGACGGGAAACTTAAACTCAATGAAATGAAAAAACTTTGTCCAGAATTGGTCCAAATTAAGAAAACAAACCATTTTCTATAGTTTTTATCTGGAGTTTTGTGTAAATACAAACCATTTTATCAGAGTGGAGCCAGGCTGACAAACGTCAGAGGGAAGCAGGTCAGCTTTACTCCACTTCAGGTTGGACGCCAACAGGGCGGGACCAGACAAATCCGGAGCGCCACCACACACCACTGGGGCAACAGAGAGTTTCATCAATAAATATATAAACACACGTTCATATATTATTGTTTTTGTATGCATGTGAACACAGTAAAGGCACCAACTCATTCGAGACAGTGAGCCGTCGGTCGTTATGAACTCTTCCTTGTCAATGAGGAGTTTCACAAGTTTACTGAGGGAGCAGCTGTTGACGGGTCCGGACATTTCCAGCACCACCATGCAGCTGTAGAACCTGGGAAACCGGGAAGAGACGATCATAAGCTCTGATTAACATTCCCATGTCAGGTATTCAGTGCATTTAAAATCTGTCCAGTTTTTAATCTCACTTTAATGTTTAATATCGTTGAATATATTTTATATGACAAAGATTACCTCAATGGATGATTATTTCATTTATACCAGGAAAAAAACAATCTGTACTTTTATGAAAATTTAATTTTCTCCTGGGAAAATCATAACTTACAAAACACAAGCATAAAAAAAATTATTTGACAACATGAAGTAGGCTAAAAAGTAAAAAAGCGGCATATTGTGGATAAAAGTCAATAAATTAGAGTCTTTTTCAGATTTAAATTACCTTTTAAAAACAACAACCTTCAAGAATACATTAAGCATAATTTTCATTAAGCCACACAATTCTGTATTAAAATATATTACATTATTCTGACATAATATTTTAAGTTAAAATGTTTTCTTTAGCTGTAAGAAGAAATTAATGTAAATAACAGCTTAAAATATCTTTCAGTGTAAATAATCAATATATTCACTTGAATTAAGAATTGAGTTAATAAAGTAAATTAAATTTTCATTGATATTAGGTTTTTTTTTTAATTGCATAAAAATTGCATAAAATATCGAACATGTCTTTAAAAGAAAAGCAAATGTTTACCTCCGATTAATTTCCCCGTAACATTCCAGATGAGTGCCCTGGATAAAAACAAACACATATAGTATGATATTTTTCACCTTGTAGATGTGTAATTTAAGATTATTTGCAGTAAAATTTACCGTGTGTTTTGTTACGATGTCTGAACAGTTTTCCCCCCTGAAACAAACAGTAGTTTGTATATTTAGCTGTTAACCACGTTATATAATTAATAATGGATGTTCTGGTCAAACAGGTTAAACATTCAATAATTATAAAAACTTAATCTGGTGAACAATTCAGAGCAAGTTATTTAATTTGTAGAGTTAAAAGTTGTCACTTACTGTAAGTTCGGTGTGCACACTGAGAGGATGTTAGATTTTAACAACTATCAAACGAGCAGAAAGTCAGTTTCAGAGGATATTTAATGGAACGAATAATGAAAGTACAATAACTTTACATACCAAGTCTCTGAGGTGGATAACTGTCATATTACTGGTGATTTTGATTTTTATAGCATAAAGCTGCCCTGAAAACAGAAAGAGGGATGAGAGATGCATAATGCCTGGTTCACATTCTCACCTTATGATCATAAATTCATAAATAATCATAAATAACATTATATTGGCATATTGGGGCCTTTGTAGGCAGGAAAAAATGAGTAAAATTTCACCAAAAAAACTCAGAAATTCTCTAGGAAAACTCTAGGAGTTTCACAAGAGGAAAACGCTAGAAAAAAACCTGAAATTTTGAGGTTTGTGTCAAAAAATTTCCACGAAAAATAAAAAATTGTAAGTGTGAAAAGTCAATTCGTCTCAGAAATCTTCTAGAAAAAACTTGGAAAATTCTGAGTCTGAAAAGTCAAAAAAAAAAAAAAAAGTTTGGAAATGTTGAGATTGGTGTCACAAATTTTCTGGAAAAACATGGAAATTTCTAGGTCTGAAAAGTGGAAAGAGTGCTAGAAAAAACAGACAATTCGAGATTAATGTCATACACTTTCCAGAAAAAAACTGAAATTTCTAAGTCTGAAAAGTCGAACATTTCCTCAGAAATTCTGAGATTCATCTCAGAAATTTTCTAGAAAAAATTTCTAAGTTTGAAATGTCAAAATATTGCTAGAAATTTTTTTTTCTGGAAAAACATGGAAATTACTTAGTTCCAAAAGTTGAAAATGTTCCACTTTAATCTGCAATGGTTTTATTACACTGTTGTACCAACACCAGTAGTCAATAACTGGAGGAAAATCCAACATTGTTTTCAAAATTTTGCTGCAGATTTTTAGGTCATGCTGTAGGAAATCTAGAGGATTCTTGCTGCTGTTTTCAAAAAGTGAAGCGTTGTTTGGACAAATATTCCCTCTGATTTGTACTTTTCTATGATGTGTAACCAATTAGCATCTTAAAAGCTCAAATAATGAACCATCAGAACTGTTGCTATATTGTTTCATAATTTATCCTGAATAACCTGGGAACAACCTGAGAATGTAGTGACTGAACTATGGAGAATTTATACCTGAAAGTTTGATTCCTTAGTAAACCAAAAATAAAAACCACAGGAATAAACACAAAACGACGCCCAACGTTGATTTTAACTTCTCTAACAAAACAAAAACCAGGATTAAAGATATTTCTCTTGTCTTACTCTCAGTTTCACAGAAAGCAGAGCAGTTGCAGAAACGAGGCACCGTCCCTGAGAAGCAGAAAAACCTTGATGAGAAACATCAGCGGCAGCAGTCGATTTGTTCTGGCAACACGGCAGAATAAATGACACAAACCGCTGCAGGAGTTTGGCGTCTGTTGTGGAGCCTCCACAGAGTTTGTCTCTAAGACAGAACTGGAGGAGAAACGTGTGAAACACAGAGACTGAATTAATCAAACCAAGTGAAACTGGAGTGGCTGCTCACCAGGAGATGTCAGAGGTCCTGTTCGACCTGCAGATTTCATCCAGAGACGACGTGGACGTGCAGCGCACAAAGTCACCACTAGAGGGCAACCCGTCCTCACAGAGCGTTCTTCCTGATGTGGAAGAAAAACAGCAAAATCTTTCATTTTTCTATTATCTTAATCAATTTTCTCACAGATTTGGACCAGACTGAGTTTGATCTTACTCACATTTGCTACTGAATGAGTTGAATGTTTGTGTGTAAAGTTATAGAGCTAGTGTTTACATAAAGGTGGATGTGTTTCCATGTCCAGTTTGCATGCATGCATAATGTTTCATGTTCGCAGAACAAAAGCTAAATGTTAATTTGGGGAAGTGTGTGCCAAACGCTGCATTTCATTTCACAAACTGTTGGAGAAACTTCCAGAACTGTTCTCTGTTGCAATTCAAGCTTAGGAACTAATTTACAGTGAAGTCCTGCTGCTCCAACATATGAACAGTTTTGTGACTCAAACGATCAAACTTTGCTTTATTTTGGTCACACAGCTGGAAACATCAGCGGCAGCAGTCGATTTGTTCTGGCAACACGGCAGAATAAATGACACAAACCGCTGCAGGAGTTTGGCGTCTGTTGTGGAGCCTCCACAGACTGCAAAAACACAAAACCTTTCCAAGTGTCTTCGGTTTAGTTTCTAGTGCAAATATTTTAGTACAGTTGAAATAAGAGAAAACTACCTTAAAAGTAACTTTACAGCAAAATATAGTTATGTTATAAGTGAAACAATGTAACCTGGACCAAAAGTCCAGGTTACATTAACATATACATTAATATTGATGAAAAACATCAATATTAAGGAATTGTTGACATAAAACAAGCTATTTGTTCTTGCTGAAAAGTTATCTGTAACTTAGTTTTCTCTTGTTTTAAGTGTACAAAGATATTTGCAGTAGAAACTAAACCAAAACTGCTTGGTAATATTTTGTGTTTTTGCAGTCCAGACATAAATGATCAGAAGTTTAGAAGTTGCATCCTTGATAAAAGGTGTTTGAATTCTCCTAAATGCCTTAGGAAGAAGCTGTTGTGCTGCCTTCACTACCGCAGGAAATCCCAACTCATCTGTCATTTTTTACAAGTGTTTAAAAACTTATAACCTCATGGAGGTTTTAAAATTAAATAAGGAAAGAGAAAGTGGAAAATAAGTAATTGTACTCATGTTTTCTCAACAATATTTGTAATAATTTATTGTATTATTTGTATTTATGATCTGAACCTTCAGAGCCACATAAAGACGGTTACAAAGTCAGCCTTCTATGCATCACAAATCTGGAACAAACTTCCCAAAAACTGCAGAACTGCTGAAACACTGAGTTCCTTTAAATCAAAGTTAAAAACAAACTTGTTTAGCTGATTTTGAACCGTAATAAATGAAACATTAATCAATATATTTGAGGGGTTTTGATTTAATTTTTGTTACTCGTTTCTTAATTGGCAGCTGCATCATGTTTTTATTTTTGTGTTTTTATGATATAAATCACTCTGAACTGCCTTGTTGATGAAATGTCCTGCAGAAATAAATTTAATAGACTTATTTTCCAGTCATGTTCCTGTAACACGTTTGAAACATTTAAAATCTCTGTCAGACTCACCGACTCTCTCCACGTTCCCGGTGATGTTTGCCTGCAGCGCCCCTCTGGCGCGCTGCAGCACGTGCTGCAGGTCGCACGGCGACACCGCATGGCTGAGGAGCAGCAGCACGTTGCACAACGTCTGGCTGCAAAACAAAATGCATCCAAACCATTACGGGGAAACACTTACCGGCGTATTTTCAGACACCTAAACGGACTCATCGTTACCTTTCAGTGGCAGCAGCTTTTGCTCTGCAAGTCACTTCCATGACCTGAAATGACGACATTTTCTGGTTTGCAGCAGTGAAAAGTAGAGACGTGTTGCTATGTTTGGGGAGAAATCTCACCTGAAGTTGTCCGTTAGCTTTACAGAAGTGGCCGAATCCTCCCTCATTGCTGGTGTTTTTACAATCAAAAGCTTCTGACACCTGAGTGAAAGATAAATGGAGTTGGTTTCCATCTGCAGCTGAAACTGTAAACCAGGACGTTTAAGGTTGTTGTGTAATTAAATTGTGTTTCTTTCGTCATTTATTGCTGTATTTCTGCAGCTAAAGGCAAAACATCTGCAAAAACACAAAAGGTCGGCGTGCTGAGCTGCCTGGCTCGCTGCAGGTTTGTTCCTCATTCCTGAAAGCTGTGATCCAATCGAGAGGAAATGTTTTTATTGAGAACATTTTTCTTCTTTATTGAATCATGAAGCTGAATAAAGACAAACAATCTGAAGCCTGCAGTGTTTGGTTTTGCTTCAGACCGCTGCATGCCATCACATCTTTGTATTTTTGTCCTAAATTTGGTGGTTTTGTCTTGAAACTTTGTCTGAAACCTGCTGTGACCAGCGGATTTAGGGAACTTTGACCCGTTTCAAAAGGGTTTGAAACAGAAATTAACTTTAAATTTTAACGTCTCTTAATAAAACCACTCAGGTTTCCTAATAAACTATCAGTTGAGCATCATAAACAAGTAAAGAACAACTGATTTTTATAAACTGAGCTATAAATAGATAAAACAATTAGTAGGAACTCTTGCTCTCTAATACCAAGAAGCATTAAAGGAACATTTCCAAGTTTTTTTCATTGCAAATTATTCCATATTTCTTCTTTTTAACATTTGGCTTTGCTTCAACCTCAAACCCCAACATAAGACTAATTTACTGAGCAGCTTGAAGCGAAGCTGGTTAGTAATCAGCACTGAGATCATCGAACTTAAGGCACCTTAGAGGAACGTAGCATTTTATTTGAAGGGGTGAGAATAACGTCTGTTATGAATGTTTACGGCTGCTGTGAAGTGTAACTTGGGAAATAATGACACTTTTAATGTGTCATCATTTATTTATTCTCCTACAATCGCAGAAGTTCAAATATATTTGACAAAAAGTCACCAGAGGTTCTGTCACATCAGCAAAATTAAAGTTGTACAACGTTATAGCAACAGGTATATTTTTCCTTCCACTAAGTAAATGCACTGAAATAAAAGGTAAATTAATTTTATTTGTATTTTTTTCAGTTTTTTTTACAGAAAAGGAGGAGCAGAGCGGTAAATGTCAGCAGCTGTTGGGTAAGATTGCCGCTAAGCTCCTAGCAGAGCAGGAATGTGCTGCTGATTTGGTTCTGGTGAGCCCAGTTTATGGGAAAGTGTCATTTACAGGAATTAAATGTGAGATTCAGCGCTTCAGAAACCCATCGACACGTGCATGACGTTTTCCTTCTCACCAGATTACTGAGGTCCTGTTCGGTTTTATTGCTTTGCTCAGATTTCACACTCATGGGAATCCAGTAGTAAGCATCTAAAGGACAAAAAACACACAGAGCTGCAAAAATGTTCATTTAAAAGGAAGAGATTGGACAAAAGTGAGTGATTCTTACTTTTGTTGGAACATAATTGACTGATGTTGCAGGTGACTAGAGTTCCTGAAAGACAATAAATGAAAACATTTTGTTCTTTACATGAAAAACTCACTTGCTTTCGTATTTACGCGCTGAATATTCGCTGAATGTAAACCAACCTGATGTGAATAATCCTGCAGTTGTACTTCGTTCTGCAGGCAGAGCTGTGATTGGATGAACGCTGGTGCTTAGTGCGACCTGATTGGCTGGACTTTTATCAGGTGTTGTGGTCCTCACTGCTGCTGGAGACGTGATGTCTGAGGAACCGGTCTCTGAAATAAAACAAATCAGTCAAACTGTGTGACTGTGTGCAACTTTAATTTGATGGACGTTGCAGCAGCAGTGGCGGTCCTAGCGTGTTTGGTGCCCCGGGCCCACATGCCCACCATGACGCATCACCTAAAAGTCTGGCAAAAAGTGTCCAGACTTTTTGCCGAAAATTGTCGACTAAAAATTAGTCGCAGGACAAAAAAAAAAAACAACAACATAATATCAAGCAAATAAAGTAGATATTTATTGTAGATCCAAAACTTGAAAGGGATTATTACGACATTGCATTAGATTAAAAAAAACCTCTGATATTTTGTGATTAATCTCAGATATTTTCTAGAAAATTTCCAACATTTTAAATTCATACTTTTTTTGTAGAAAATTTCTGATATGTAAAAGTTAACGGTTTTTTTCTTTGTAAATTCTGCAGTAGCGCTAACACAGTTTTCTCTTTTATTTTCTCCATTTATCTTTGTCTGATATTAAAAACTGTTCAAATATTTAAGAAATCTGTAGGTGAAGAAACTTCTTCCTGTTCTCACTTCCTGTAGCAGCTAGCTTTGCAGCTATGCTAACATTAGTTTGTAAATGTAAAGAAACAGCTAGTATATTTTAGGTTTTAGCTGTAATTTCTGTGCTCTTCTTTCAGAATAGTGCAGCAGACAACATGTTTGTTCCCCACACAGGAAAAAAAACATTCTTTGTGGCTTCTGGAAATTTTCTGCGGCGTTTCGTTGCTACATCCGTCTGCTGCCACTTCCTGTGCTGAATAGTGAAAACTGTTGCTATTTGGTGGTCAAAGTGGGTCTTTGCTGGAAAACAATGACCACCTCCGCTGTAAATCACAAAAGAAAGTCTCCTTTCTGAAGATGACAAAATAAAAAATGACAAATTAGTTTCTTATAACATGAACTATTGTTTGTAAAGCGTTGTTATCCTCAGGCAGTGAATCCTGTGTTACTGCTTGGTAGGACAGAAGACACAGGTCTCCTCCCGTCAATAATCCGATACCAGAACCATCCCTTATATATTTTACATCATGTTTACAAAAGCTGCAGGTTCTGCAGAATCACAAGTATACGCTGCTTTGTGTTGGTCCCACATAACATGTGAATAAAATGTGTCATAGTTTGGTGTGTAAGTAAATTATTTTGTTGCTAACAATAACATTTTTGCCTTCTAAATTAATTTTCTTGATCTACGGAGTCATTAGGATGATGTCCAGACATTATAGAAGTTACCACAAATGAAACTTAAAAAAAAGTATATATTTGTTGAAACTGTCACCATGCTGAGACAGATAATCTGTAAAAAAAATCAATTTCCTCCACCTCCTCCCTGACCTGCTATTGCAGTCTGACGAAATGCGCAAAAACAACCAATCAGAGCCAAGAGGCGGGTCTTAGTGCTATAAATCAACCACGTGAACGCGCTGTTAAATGTGCTAATGGTGGAGAAATAACTCAGTTACAGGAATAACTCTACTGACAGGAAGCTGTACATGGTCATGATTGTCAGCGCTAAAATCCGCCTCTTGGCTCTGATTGGTTGTTTCTAGTCATCACTGGTAGAAGGAGGATACTTGTAACAAACATGTAAATAATGTTTTTTCAGAAAATAACATTTTTTTTTATATTGTCATTAAATATTGACAATATGAAAGTGAAAAACACAGAAAAACAGCCTAATTGATTTCCTTCACCATTTTTCACTTACAATTTCATATTTTTGTAAATGACTCTTCAAAGTATCCAGTTAACTTCCTTTTATACAACGCTGCTGCTGCAGTAGCTGCTGCTGCAGTAGCTGCTGCTGCAGTAGCTGCTGCTGCAGTAGCTGCTGCTGCAGTAGCTGCTGCTCCGGGACTGAGTCCAAACATTTATTTTTAACATATTCCACAGAAAGCTAGTTACCAATTAAAGTAGACTTCCTTTTCTGAATGAACAAGCTCTTGTTCACAAACTTTCTGAACAACTGACTGTACGAACGGCTGTAAACTACTCAATAAAACTAAACAGCTTTATGATGGAACCTGTAGTTCAGGTTTCAGACTGCAGGTTAGGTAGCATGCACTCGAATTAGTGCAGATTTTACTGCACACTCATGACTTTTTGCAGGTCAAATGAGAGACAGAGAAAATTAAACAACTTTAAGTGAAAGATTAGTGTGAAGAATTGTGTGAAAGCATAAGTATGTAATGTGTAAAGGTGAGTCTTACCTGCGGGAAACACTCGACTGCTTCCTGCTTCACTGGTAATGACTGAAACACAAGATATTGTCTTTATTTCTGCTGCTTTGCACTTAAATACTGTTATCCACTTCTATTATTTAATATTTCCCTGTTATGTCATGATTTCTTAAATAAATGTAAAGTTAAATATGAATACTTAACTTTACATTGATGCAGGGATAAACACAAATGTTCTAACTTTACTTTATTCACAAATACACATTTTTTGCAAGAGTAATCCAGCAAAAAAGTGTGAGCCAGTAATTAAACTGGTTCACAATTGGAAGAAAGGAGGTGAAAGATCCCTGATTTCAAATCTTAAAAGTGTGGCGTTCATCCATATCAGCGTAAATATGGAAGAATGCCACACTTTAATTAAAGAACTAGCATGCTAAAACATCAACTGCTAATATAAACTTCACAAATTTAACCAATATGAAACCAAGGAGAGAAAAATTGTTGAAAGAAACATCATTTTACTTCCACACTTGTTTGTGTTAGTTTATCACAAACAATGGTTGTAACGTGACAAAATGTGAAAATTCAAGATGCATCATTACAAAACATAAACAAAAAAGTCACCTGAATCCACACTACTAGCTGTAGCATTGCTTGGATTTGCATCTCGTCTCAATCTCTTGTGGTCTACAAAACAAACAGACATGCAACATTCAACATGCTCTAAAAACATGCACCGCTAAGGACTTAGAGAAGAAGGTAAATACGTTAGTTGAGGGTTTGCATGCAGTACTTTCTGTAAAACCCCAAGGATAAAACGCAGCACTGTAGAGAAACTCAACGGGACTTTGTTGTTGTCAGTAATCCGCCTTTTGAAGAACAAATGAAACCAAAGAGTGAAAGTGATTGCAGTATTGTGTTGGGGACTTGGTGAAATAAAAGAGTGATACATTCAGTTTCAGCTGTTGGTGTTTTAAACTCCTAATTGTCAGGCTACCTTTAGCAGCTAGCTAAGCTGAGCGCTGTCACTAGGTAGTGCATCAACTGAAGTTTCAGCTGTTACTTATTTTTCCACAATCTTTACCAGTAAAGAGACCATACACAGTTCCAGGAGTTACTTGTACTTTTACTGAAATTACTCTTTTAAGTTTCTGCTTTTCTAACCAGCTGTACCACGCTAACATGCTAACAATAGCATATAAAGAGGAACAAACAGAGATAACTCATGCTGGGTTAGTAAAAGTATTCTGCTTGGTAACTTAAGATAAAAAGTGAGGTCAATTATTAATATTAAATTAATACAGTTTTAGTTGCATCTGTTATTTTTGTCCTTTCTTTCCTCAAAATTAGCTAACTCCAAATTAGCTAGCACTGTTTTCTACTAGCTACTAGCTTATTTTAATTGTCATGTTTAGCTAACACTTATTGTGTTTATGCATACTTTACGAAATGTTTGTTTTGTTTTTCATTTAATAATTAACAATGTATTTGGTGTTTGTTTAAAAAAACGTAGATTTGAAGTTGCTGCTTTTACATCTGAAACTAAAAACATGAGTTTAGTTATTGTAATAAATCAACTGAGCCTTATATTTTGTGTTATTTGGTATGTTTTAATATTCTATAATTTTGATACGGTATTTATTTTTTATTTTAAAATCTTAAAGTTTGAACGGGATTAGAAGAAAGACGAAGAACTTAGCTGTAGCTAAATTAAATGTTCCCTACATGAATGCCTTATTTAAACTGGAACATCAGTTGCATTCATGTAAGATGAGTTAATCTGAAAAATATCCTGCTTTCAGTTACAAATGCAGTTCAAACATTAGTAAAAAGAATCTGTCATGCATGTGAAAGTTAATAAATATGCCTGTTCTTCTCACCACATGGAAGAGAATGGTCCGTTTCTTTGGCGTTGGGACTGGTAACATCCCAGTGGTCTCCATCCCAGCCAGTCACAGTTCCGTCCTCGCAGGACCTGTGTTCACCCAGGTCTGCCCACATGCGGAAAAGGTACAGCTCCACCTTTCCCACGGCACCTCCAGGTGACCGGTTTCTCTGATGGCAGCCCAGCCACAGGGAACCAGACGGAGGGATGGCCTGAGCGATGACCGTCCTCTCTGCTACCATGACGTGATCAACCTGGAGCATTTAGACAGACACAGTTGGTAGCTCCTCACAGCTAAAGGTTTGATCTTCAGAAAAATGCTATTATCAATAGAAATTATTCAATATTACTGTGCTAAAATTAAATGAACATTAGCTCATCCCATCTCTGAAGTCTACAAATAAATCTACTCAAGGAAGAGAAGAATTACTCAAGTAAAAAAGCACTAAAGCTACTCTTATAAGTACATTTTTTCCCAAAAAGTTACTCAAGTAAATGTAACGAGTACTACCCACTTTGGTGCTAACAGTAGCCTATTCATGCTAGCAAGCTTAACGTGATATCGGCATTAGCTAGTCATCATTTAGCTAATATTACCTGCATCCAACGGCATTAATCAACTATCAACAGTTAGTTTGAGGGAGAAAACGGTGAAATTTTCTTTGCCTTTTGATAATATTGCTGCCATGATTCTAACACACACCTGCGCAGCTCCGTCGCACATTTTAGGGCTCATGATGTGTTTAAAGGCGGCTCGGAAAAACACGTTACGACATGTTAGCAACATTAAACAGTTAATGTTAGGATTAAACAGTTTAAAAAAAGTGCGGGGGACAGAGGGCGCAGATGCGGGAAGTGCGGGATATACATATACAAAACATCATAAGTATGTTTTGTTGAAACATGTATTATTGAACTGTAATGACGATTTGTTTCCTAAAGTATCTTGAGATGACGTGATTAAATAAGCTTAGCTGAATTTAATTGAAAAGGCCAGAGCACAACAACAAAAGCTTAAATGGAAGTACAGTAATGCTAAAATGGAAATTATGCTAAAAGAGAAGTTATGATAAACTTGCTAGCTTAACTTCTGTAACTTAATAACACAACAACACAAGCCACAACTATACTAAAGTGGAAATTATGCTAGCATAACTTCCTTTCTGGCTTTTTGTTGTTGCGTTGTGACTGTTGCTGTTATGAATTTTGCACTTTGTTTACCCTTCTGGGCCACTGTACATATCGTTTTTGTCAATATGATAAAATATAACTATTGGATGGTTTTAGTTTCTTTCCATGAATCCCCCAAAACCTTTGGAAAAAAGACAGAAACTGTTATCTTGCAAAAGATTATCCACCTTTCTATCAAAATCTGTTGATATAAGATCTAAACAAGAACATACCAGGATTTCTTTAAATTATTTGGATAATGGAGGAACCGTTTTAGGCCACTCTCAAACTTATTTTAGAGAACTTTTTACCAGATGAGCCCCTAAATGTTTTGATAGCTAATTGTTGCTAAAGATTCAATGTTTGAATCTTCAAAGCAGTAAAATTTAAAATGAAAGTCCTCCAGTTATTGACTGGTATCCCTTACATATTACTTTAAAAAGGAAAGTGTGTGAAATGAAATATTTCCATGGCACCAGGATTTGTTACACCTCAAAATTATGCTCTTCTATAAGTTTTTCCTGCAAGATCAGGTTGATGTTGTAGCACGATAAATCCATGTTACTTTTGCTTTGGTGACAAATTTGTTTATCAAATTTACCAGAGCTAAATGCTACAGTGGATTGAGCTGCAAACACATTTTAGTATTATGTAAAGTTGAAATATAGTAAGCCACATGTCTTCCCACATATTTGTGCTCAACTTGTTAGCACCTGTAAGCTAGCAGCTAGGTTGGATGTAATAATGCAGAGGTTTAAGCTAGTTAGCCTGCCAAGCTAAAACTGTAGAGCTAATTTGTCTTTTGACCTTTTATAAAGTCTTACTTTTTTGCCAATTACTCAAACACTTGTTTCACCAGTTGTTAGCATTCAGTTTGTTAGCAAACACAGCAAAAACACAAAATCTTTTGGCCTAGTTTCTAGTGCAAATAACTTGGTGCACTTGAAATAAGACTAACTTAAAAATAACGTTTCAGTACGAAATATGAGCTTGTTTTAAATCAATAATTTATTAATATTGCTTAAAATCTACTTTTTTGTTATTAACAATGATTATTTCACTTTTAACAGGATATTTCTCCCAAGTTGTAAATCAAATAATCTGCCAATAGAACTAGTAATTTTTAATCAATATTAAGGAATTATTGACTTAAAATACAGTCATATATCTTGCTTAGAAGTTACATGTAAGCTAGTTTTCTCTTATTTCAAGTTTACTAAGAAATACTGGACCAAAAATACTGTAAAAATACAGTTTCAAGATCTTTATTGTTTCATTGTTGCTTTCAAATATAGTACATTGTTATTTGATAGTGGTATTGATCAATAGTACTCCAGGTGGCTGCTTTTTCACTATTTTTCATCAAAAATATTAATACTACAAAAGCAGCCTTAAAAAGCATTATGTAAAACGAAATACTTTTTAAAATGTGAATTAAATTGTTAGTCTTAGTAGTTTATTAGTGAATATATTGAAACAAAGCTGCAGGTTTTAGTGAATAATAATATGTAAAGACTGTAATGTAATCACCAGATTTGTAGGTCACTGTCTACGTAGGTTCAGTTCCACCTCAAGTGTGCTTGTATGTACAGTCTCCTTATTTCATTGTGTCCTGGTTTTATACCGCCCATATTATATAGCAGCAAGAGTAAACGATAGTGACAAGTGTTACTGTTGGCACGCAATTTGTCATTGTTGGTATAATTTCATTGACAAGTTTTGCAATGAGGAAAACTTCAGCACATATTTGATATTTTCCCTCCACAATTAATTATTGTTTTATTCTAATTACAAAAGAATAAAACACAAGCGCACATAGATCTACCTCAAACCAAAATGGGTTAAAGAACAGGATTTCATCATTTTTTAAAGCATATAATCTTATTTTACTACAAGAGTACTAGTTTTATACTCCTACGTGTCAAGCTAGCTTTCGCAGCTAGCTGTGCTAACACTAGCATCACATGAAGCAAGACGTTTCAGCTTTTTACTTATTTTTTCCCCCCTCTTTTATGTTTCAGTCTTAATCAATAGAGACCATATAGTTCCTTGAGTCATTGTTTTAGTTTTAGTTTGTTTGTTTTTTTGAGTTTCTGCTTTTTTGACAAGCTGTAGCAAGTTATGCTAACGATCAAGAGGAACAAGCAGGGAGAACTCATACTGGGTGAGTAAAAATGTTATGCATGGTAACTTTCAAAATAAAAATAAAAACTCAGAGTCTAATCTTATTTTACTCAGTGTTACCTCCAGGCTGAAGATATTTCTCCGTACGTCCCTCCTTAGACACACCCTGTGCCACTCCATTGGGGACATCTTGAACGGAAACCGGTGCTGGACTTGCAGTAACCATCCATAAATTGTTTTGTCGTCCCCTTCAAGAGCTAAATTGGGGTTTGGTGTCCGGACTGAGCTGTAAGAAAAGGCCACCCAGGGTCCAGGGACAACCACGCGAATATTCACACATACAGTCATCTGGGAAAGGCTTGGGATGGAGATCCTGTCCCGAAGGGCCCAGTGGTCTTCACAGCCATTTACTACTGCCTTAATGTCTCTGAGGAAATATCCGTCCACTAAAAAAAGACAGAATTAATCCAAAATTAAGGATTTTAATAGACATGGTTAGTGTTAGCGATAATATAAAGTGCTAAAATAAAAGATTGAGGTTAGCGCTGGGCTAATCGTAGCTACTAAACTTATTATCCAAGCTTGTAAAAATAGAAAAGCCCTCGGGGTTTAAACTTTATATGTCTCGTTAAAGTGCGCTAACTGTTAGCTTTCTTAGCTAAACGGCGTAATAACATGCTTTTTTTCACTTTTTCTCTGCTCTCAACCCACCTTGCAAAAACATAAATGGCATTACTTATTAGTTACTCCATAGCTACCAAACTTTCTAGCCTCTAATCACAAAAAATTTTTATATGAGCCATTTTGTGGAGCTTGCAAGCATTTTTATGGAGTCAGTTATAACATGCTGGTGAAAGCATTCATGCTAATGCTAGCCTGATAACTAAAATAAGCATTTCAGCTAATTCTTCCAATAATAGCCATGTTTATAATACTGAATGGAGTAAGTCAATATTGGTCAACCTGATAGTGATACTCCACATGCTACATTTTAGCTAACCTTAGTATTGTTGCTAATTTTCATCATCACAACACCTAAATTGTTTCTGACTGATGTGTACACTTTGGGACTTCAGAAATTTAAAATGTTTTGGCCAGAATATTGGGGTAAAGAACTGATGCATGTCTCCAACAGACATCATCCAGATGGATGTCTGGATGATGACCCAGACATCATCCAGACATCTTGGACATCATCAGATGTCAAAATGGGCTTTCCAATAACCCTAAGCAATGCTAAAGTGGTTACCAAGTGGCTAAAGGGCAACAAAATCAATGTTTGGCCATCACAAAGTCCAGATCTCAGAGAATTTGTGGGTAGATCTGAAAAGGTGTTTGTGTGAGCGACTTGGCCTACAAATCTAACCCAGTTCCTCCAGTTCTGTCAGGAGAAATGGGCCAAAATTCCTGCCAACTATTGTGCGAAGCTTATGGAACGAAACCCAAAACATTTGACCCAAACAGTTTAAAGGCATCGCCACCAAATGCCAAGAAAATTTTGGAGATGTAAATAAATAAATCCCTGATACATTCCTGCTCCCAGTATTGTGGCATTTAGCCAATAGAAATAATGTTGGTAATTCTAACTGGGCGTTTTCTCTGATTGAACTTCAGATTGTGCGTAAAAAGCTGTCTTTGTTTTTATTTTTATTAAATTCCTGGTCATATGAGCCACAGCTAGAAAGCTACTTTTCCTACTGAGTTCAGGTTGAATAAGGGATTTGCCCATGGGAGCTATCTATGCAAACAGTGCTGCGCGCCACTAGAAAAATCGAGTGAAATTAAAATTTAAAAGGAAGAACACATCCAGTATATCCAGTGTCATCCCCCACATTTAGAACACAGTAACTCTTTATTTTTTTCTCAAAGGTAAATATTCATGTCAATTCAAATTAATAACACTGAATTGACAACTGTCAATGGGTGCATTGATGAATGGACGCTGTTTTGTGTCCATGGCAACAAAAAACCCTGCCAGACAATAATGAGGGATAAGTTCAGGAGTCTCTGCTAGTTCACACTCAGATCTGTTTTTCTGTGAAATCGGATTTTTTTTGCGTAGTTCTAAAATAATCGGTAAAACAATATTTGCCATGTGTATGTGATCTCCTGTGTGAACTTCAGGCTACCTTAAAATGTCCCGCATGCGCAGTAGAGGGCGCAATGACGTCACACATACGGCGCGAATGTTTTTCCAACCGCCATAAAGAAGAAGAAGAAGAAGAAGAAGTGCTCAGTGTTTGCGGAAGTAAAGGTGGATGCTAATGGTGGAGCTTAGCTTACGATTTTAAAGTTGTGGTCCGACCGGAACCAGCACATTAACAGCTCAGTCCTCATTATCGTCCGCCATGTTTGTTGTTTTTCTTCCCGCTTGAGCGGATCAGAACCAGAACAGTGACGTTTGTCGAGTATCAATGACGTTAGGTTGGATGAATACGGTCAGAGCCGCACAGATTCAAATCGCATAAAAGATCAGATTCGTATCGGATTTATAACCTCAAATCCAAATTGTTCTGGGTCGGAATCGAAAGAATCCGATACAAGTTGTTCAGACTGTCATAAAAAGATTCGATACATGGAAAAACCGGATTTGGATCACTAAAGGCTGCACTGAGCATAGCCTTATTTGCTCTAAAACACCAAGCAAGCTTTATTTTGTCAGTTGCTACACAAATAAAAGTGCTTTACATAGATCAGGAGAACTTTCTGCGGAAGAGACAGATTTCCATAATATTGTAAACATTCCTGTATGCAAATATAAATGCAATACGTTGGGTTTTCAGGTTAAACTTTTTTCCCAGGTGTTTTATTAATTGTACATAAACTTTTGCTCACCTGTGGGTGGAGCGGCTGCTGCCAGGAAAAAGAAGATGACTGGATGGAAACAAAGCCGCCTTCTCCATGTTGCTTCAAAGAAAAGGCCAAACATCCTCCTGGAAACATTACAACATAATATTTCCAACTCTTTATATTTCTTCCCTCCTTTAACTCTCAGTTATGTAATAACATTCAAATCAATGGTCACGTTTTTTTGTTTTTGCATAGCTGGAACCGTTTGCTCAGCAGCTTCCTCTTTTTAAGCTTTTCCTCCATTGTAATCGGTGTTTCTATAAATGGTCAGAGCTGTGGGAAGCCTTTTTCACAGCTTGAAAGATGAAACGGTTGAATATTATCCGCGCTTTTGTCTGAATGAGGTTCTTGACTTGAGGGCCGGGGAGGGGAGGACACTGGGGAGTTGGGTTACACCTCATGATATTCACACCTTTCAAAGACAACTTATTGTTTCTAGTACAGTTAGGCTGCTACACATCTCAGTTCACACTTTTATGCAATGCTTGTATGTGGATTCTGGGTATTCAAAATGTTTAACTATGTTTGTTCTAACATGGAAATGAAATATGGCAGATACAGTGACTTGAAAAAGTATCAACACTCCTTTATTATTACATTTCTAAGCTCCAAAAACCTTTTTTCCCCCTTTGGTTGGTTGTTTTTTTGGACGCAATTCCAACTTGATTGTTTATTTCTAGAAAAAATATAAACAAAACAAAAACTAGATCTTTCTTACAACTTAGATGAAAAATAAGTTATCTAAATCTGATCTTACAAGTTCAGGAAGTGATCAAAAAGCCATTTTACAAAACCTTCTGTTGTTACACCGGATATTTGACAAGCATAAAACATTTCCACCATGTTCGCCTTTGTGTTCTTAATTTAATAAATTAACATGAAGATTTAAAAGTTAACAAAGTAATACCAACAATTGTAATTACCAAAAAAAATTCACCGATTTTTGTATATTTTAACTGCACAAATAAAACTAAATTGATATGTTATTTAAATTACATTCTGTCACATTAGAACAAAAAAAACTAATGCATTGTTGTAATTAATATGATTAACAGTTTTTCACATTCATTTACAAATAAAAATCTAAATTGCACACACTTTTGATTATTTAGCTTACCTCTCAGCAATAAAAAAGTTAATTTATTATCACCAGAAATTTGTGTTGTTGTCCTTTCTTTTCATAATTGAAAACTACTTTGTATTTGTATTTTACACAAATCCAAATTAAACAACAGTAGAGTAAAAGTTTCGATTTTTATGCTGGAGTAAAAGTACTTTAATTAAGATATAAACTATTTAGATCATATTAACACCCTGAGCAAACAGAACATGCTAACTAGCATGCTAACACAGCTAATTGTTGTGATTTGAAGACAAGAGATGTTTTAGAAAACAACTTGTCAACTCTTTAGGGGTTTTTTGAAGAATTAAAACGTTTGCCAAAATAATTATTGTATTCTCTATAAAAACACATAAAGAACCAAATTTATAATGAGTGTCTGGTGATAAATTATTTCTGTGACTCTGATTTACTTGAACTTAAAGGTTTTTTAATGATTATATTAAAACAGAAGCTGGGATCTTGCCATAACATTGGAAAATGAAGAGCATTTTAGGGAACAAATCTTTAAAATGTTTATTTTCTTTTAGACTCACGTCTGTTTTTGTGTTGCGCAGAACGTAGCTGCCTGTTATGTAAACACAGGATTCAATGCAGTTCAAAATGTTCAATCTTATAAAATCGATTAAATTTTGGAAATTAAACTTTTTGCACTTTGTGAGTGAATTTTCATCAGTGCAGACAGAGCACCTGCATAGAATAATATGACTTAAGGTAACTTTAAAGTAACTTTGCATTCATTATTACCAAATAACTAAAAGTTGACTTAGCATTAAAAGTGTCATTATTCACTAAATAAGGCAAAATTTACACTTTTAATGGACTTTTAATTCAAAATTTTAAAGGAACTTTGCATTTAAAATGTCATTATTTAATGAATGACAGTTTATAACAGTGCTATGTCAGTCTTAACCCTTCAAATAAAGTGTCACCAAATACTTTACATCTGCTTCTATAGATTTAGTGAATTTTCATCAGTGCAGACAGAGAACCTGCATAGAATAATATGACATAAAGTAACTTTATTATTGCACCATTAGAGTAAAATACTTTAAATTTGTTTCCATAGATTTTCTTTAGATATCTGTATTCTGAATGTATGTTTATTCAAGACTCGGTACTAAATGAGCTTCTTGTTTGGGGCAAAAAGGCATCAAGAAAAAAAAATTATTTAAATCGTGCAACTCGTCTAGGATCTCATTTGGACCAGTTTTCTCACCCACTTTAGGTTCTATGGGTTCTATATCTATGATACAGTTCATCAAGTACAAAACAAGTAGGGAATTAATTACCTTTCATGTCATTTCAAAGTTAAAGTTATTTTCATGGCTGAACACCAATAAGTCCAGATTATTTAGTCTCCTCACATCATGAGGTCGGCAGCAGTGATTTACATTCTGCACAAACTTTGGTGCAGATGGAAAGATGTGTCACATTTTAGAATATTTTTATAATTCCTACCACTAAGTCTTGACATTTCTTAACATTTTGAAGTGTTGAAAGGCTAATCTAAACATATATGCAAAAACATATTCAGGACAAAGTTTGTTGGCTGGATTTTAGAGACTTGAAGGATATTTTTGGTTTTGTAACGCTGTCCCGTATTGTGTTTAAATTAAATCTTCGCACATCAGATAAATGTTATTCTCTTTTGATCAAAATCTCCCTGCATAAAAAGAGATTTACTTTCTTTATGCTTTAATGTCACAGCTAAATATTAGAAAGATATTTAAGATAACCTGCCCTGAAAAACAGATTTTATCAAATATTTCCGTCTATTTTCTAGTGCAAAGACAAAACTAACTTATAAGTAACTTTTCAGCAGGATATATGAGCTTCATTAAGTCAATAATTCATTAATATTAATGAAAAAGTATGTTTTACTGGCAGATTATTTCACTTATAAATATTGTTATACTCCTATTTTTTCATTAATATTAAGGAATTACTGACTCCTATATGTTGCTATAAAGTTACTTTTGTCTTATTTCAAGTGTACAAATAAACTAAAAATACCTGGTAAGATTTTATGTTTTTGCAGTGTAATGCTTTGAGATTATCTTTTGTTGACAACATAAAATAATCTGTTCCTTTTCTACTTTCCCCTAAATTTCTCACCTACATATGAAAAAGTTTTGAAGTTTTACAAACTTCTTACCTGATGGTGTTTGTCTGGTTGTCTATGAGTTAACCTTTGAACCCTACGGAGGAGGACTTGATATCTTCTCTCCGGTTCGCACACGTCTCTCCATCTTCCCCGTCTTCACACGTCTAGGATGAATCCAAGTTTCACACGCTCCACGTTTCTCCTGAGTTTCTCTGTCCAGGATCCACCTGCGTCTGAGCGGCGATGTGGTTCAGCAGGCGGGAGGCTCGTTTGAGAGAGAGCTGCGTTCAGGAAATCAGAAATCCTGAAATGCAAAATCTGCCTGCAGGCCACTGGGGGCAAAATAATGAAACACACCCAGAGAGGGAGGAGAAAGAGAGACAAGGAGGACAACACGTCTGTCTGTCTGTCTGTCTGTCTGTCTGTCCTGCAAAAACTAAATATTGTCTCATTTTTCTTCTTTAGAGAGCAAATATCTTCGTACACTTGAAATGTAAGACAAAACTAACAAGATATAGAGGCTTATTTTAATATTGATGAAAAAGTCTTAGTTCCACTGGTAGATTATTTAATGTACAAGATATTTTTCCCATATTAAAAGTGAAATAATCTGCCAGTAAAATTACAACTTCTTGTTGATATTAAGGATTAACTGACTTAAAACAAGCTGCTGTATCTTACTGAAAAATTACTTGTTAGTTTTGTCTCCTAGAAACAAAACAAAAATACTTTGTAAGATTTTGTATTTTTAATTATTTACCTTTAAAACAAAAATACAAAATCCTACTAAATATTTTTGTCCAGTTTCTGGTGCAAATATATTATTATACTCGAAATATTAGACAAAACTAACAAGTTATTTTTTTTTAGCAAAATATAGCAGGTTGATCAAACTATATTGATGAAAAATTACTTGTAAATTTAATTTATTACAATAAATTTTTCCTGTATTAAAAGTCAAACAATTTGCCAGTAAAACCAGAACGTTTTAATCTATTTTAAGGAATTATTGAGTTAAAACAAACTCCTGCATCTTGCTGAAAAGTAATTTATTTTCTTATTTTTAGTGTACTATATTATTTGCAGTAGAAACTAAACAGAAATGCTTGATAAGATTTAGATTTTTTCTTTCTTTCTGTATGGCTGGAAGGTAACAGCTGGTAGTACAGGATGCAGGGTCAGGCCCTTCCTTCACACGGTGTTAGCCTCTCGGCGTTGTCTCAGTGTGTGTGTGTGTGTGTGTGTGTGTGTGTGTGTGTGTGTGTGTGCGTTTGTTTGTAATACCTTGTGGGGACGATTTTCCTGACATATACTACGTTGTGGGGACCAATTGCTCCTCGTGGGGACCGGAGCCTGGTCCCCACAAGGGGAAACCCTGTTTTTGGGTCAGGGGTCAGAGTTAGGGCTAAGGTATGAATTGAGTTTTGGTTGGTTAGGGTTAGGAAAAGGGTAAAGGTCAGGTTTAGGCTGTAGAAATGAATGGAAGTCAATGGAAAGTCCCCACAAAGATAGCAACGCAGACATGCGTGTGTGTGCGTGTGTGTGTGTGTGTGTGTCGGGATGTTTGTATAAGCTACAGAATCAGTTGGAAAGAAAAAAAAAGGCAGAAAAATTCCCCATGTTGTCAAGAATGAAATGAGGGAATTCAAGTTGAGGAACCAGTCAAACCATCGTCTCCTTGGCAGGAATCAGACATGAAGTGAATCAAACAGTCAGTAGCAGCAGAGTGAAGCGCTTTTAAACAGTAAAACATTTTTAAAAATCACGCTGCACCCTCGCTTGCCTGAGGCGGGCGTGTGTTTGCGAAACCACGAGGGTTCGTGCTGTTCTTGACTTTGTCCACAAGAGGGCAGTGTTGGAAGCGGTATTTTTCCCGCTGCATATCCGGTGTCAGGCTTTGTTTTTGTTTTTTTATGGGGGGAAACGAGGCTGTGTCGGATCAGTGGAGCGCAGCTGAACTGCAGAGTTGCTGCTCCACATTCAGTGACTCAGCACTTTTACCCTCTGTCAGTTCAACACGCATAAATATTTCCAGTTTCTTTCTCCTGTGACTCCTTAAAGCAGGGGTGTCAAACTCAGTTCCGTTTTGGGCCAAATTAAGATCATAAATGCTTTTAAAGTGCCAGGATGTATTGATAAAATCTGTTCACAAACTGTTAAAATATCAGCGAATTCTTAAAATTAAATAATATTATTGAGCATCTTTTTTTGCAATAAAAATCAAAGTGTTTGTGGAACTAATTTGGAAATATTTGCAATATTTCCCCTTTGTTTATGACGGTAAATGGAACTGTTATTTTTTGCTGTATAGATCATGGACCACAATCTGACATCAATTAAAGCTAAAGCAGCTGTTTAATACAAGTAATAAAGGTTTTGACAATTTTTAAGAAAAATCTGCATTAAACTGCCAATTATAACCACAAAAATGTTTGGGGGATTTCTTGATTTTGCGTGAATTTGCTCAATAATTCTCAAGAAACTGGAGGGACAGATAAAAACTGCATTGATTTGATTGAAAACATAATATGTAAGCACACTTAGTGGAAGTCAATGTTTCAGCTGGTTTGTAGTTTTCTGTTAGTTTATCCCAGATTTGTGGTACTTCTGGTTTTAACTGAATATCTTTTGATAGACCACATTGATAATTTGAGGAAAGTTGCTCATCCTGCATCCACCATGTTTGATTGATTCATTTTTTTTCTTAAATTATCCCTGTGCACCAGATCTAACATGACATACCTTCGAAAACATTCTACTTTTGCCTCGGATATTAAAATATTTCCAAAGACGTTGCAGATAATCCAGAGGTTGTTGGAAAATCCGAGATATTTCACACATAAACTCTCTTTTGTGCCCAAACGCTTCATTGCTCAGTGACATTTTTATCATAAAGTTTACTGGCAGAGCTCCTGGGTGGGAAGGTTGTGGGTTTTTCTTTGACGGCTGTGGCGCCTACTAAGAGCCTGAACAACGGTTTCATTCAAGAACACGCCAAAGAGACGAATGTATTAACAATAGCTTGAACTCCCACGTGCACACCTTCATCTTCAGCTGCAAGGATTAACTGTTAGAGCTCGAACTCGGCTTTCACCTGCAGACAAAACACAGAGATGGAAAGAAATCAGAGCTTTCATTCACTGTTTAGAAAATAAAACACAAGAATGACGTTAAAATATGCTTAAATGTCAGGTATGTACCAGGTAACCTGCCAATTTAAATAAATTATTCTAATTCTGTCAGGATTCTTTCAGGAATCTGTTAATGGCTTTCAAAAATGTGATTAAAGGCCAACATGCAAAAGAACAAATAAAATGCAGACAAAAAGAGCACAGCAAAAAAAAAAAACCCGCATTACTAAAAGATTCCTAAAATAAAACCATTTTCTTTCCAAAAGTGATTTGAGAAAATAAATAAATGAAATAAAAAATAAAAAAAAATAACCAAAATAATTTTGCAATCTTATTAAGTGGACCCATTAATATCGCAAAGATGATTGGTCCAGGTACTGAGCCTTGTGGTACTCCATAAGGTGACCATATTTTAATTTAAAAAGAAATTACACCTGTGAAACCCTTAATTCTGACCTTAAAGAAAATCATTAATTTTACACATTTAAAGTGTGGCTTCTCTATTTAGACAGAAAGAAAAGTTAAAAAACAAACTTCAGATAGACTTTCACAAATACAAAAGTTACTTTACAATCTCTGGAAATAAGTAATAATATTAGTAATTACTGTTTTGAGTTAGAAAAATAACCTGCAAGTCGGATTTTATATCAAGTTGGACAAAACTTACTCAAAAATCTTAAATTATATTCTGAGAAAATATAGTATTTTCTTTCTAATGTTATAATAATAAAAATGAGAACTACATTAGTGCCCACAAAGTATCATCTGATCAATAAAGCTGTCAGTTCAATAAAACTCCTTTGTTGAAACAAGAGTTGAAGCATTTCTGGATGCAAAAGAGGCAAACACAAACATCACATTCTCTTATTCTGACTTTATTTGTCCAGCATTAAAGTAGAAATACTAAGTAATACAGAGGATTACCTCAGGCCACCCAAGCTGAAATTGTGCAACATGATATGGCAACAGAAAGTAAACACAGCAGTAGGCAGTAAAGGGTCGAATCTAAAGCGAGTCCTAAAGTGAAAAGTGTTTACATCCAGGCACATTTTCAATCTGTGATTGGGAGAAAACTCATTTACATGCCGCGTCGCCCCACCAACAGACAGAAGACACGTTTCATCCAGGCCTGCCTTTCTCCTTCTTATGGTCTATATTTCATATTTTTCCTGTTTAAAGAGGCAGTATTATGTATTTTCCTGACATATAGTGCCATTTTGCAGCACAATCAAGTAACTGCGTTACCTTCAAAATGCTGTATGACTTCACAGAAATTTGATTTCGTAATTTAGCGCCTTGAAATTGGGCTTCTGTCTCTTTAATTTTCTTTCTGAAACTTGGTTTTCAGGAAGTTATCACAATATGGCTCCTCTATAAACCCTTTTAACAACGTTTTTACCAGCGTTGCACTGAGAAGTGGCTCCACCAGACACGCAGTTCCATTAAGTGTTTGCTAATTGCTGCTGACTAGTCTGAAGGAGTTGAGTGGGGGAGGAGATGCACTTTGAGGGCGGGGATATGTCCGCCCAGGTGTTTTGAACAGCAGAATGGTTTCCATGGAGATTAGAGGATTTCTCTAACATGCATTAAAGAATCAAGGCAACAATCCAGGTATGTTTGTGATGAGGGAATGACATCATAACCTGATGGAAAGCTAAAAAAAGTTGATTTTACATAATACTGCCCCTTTTGCCAACCTTTCAACCGTTACGTGCTCAAACAGTGGTGATCTGGTCCACTACTCTGGTGCTGTCATTCATTTCAACACACTCCACTTCCTGTCTCTGGCCCTCTCTTCCTGGCCGATGGTCCCTGCTCTTGGAGGGAGGCAGGAAGGTGAGGAGGGTCGGCAGGAAGGCCAGAGTGTGCAGGGCCGAGCACACGGCCGTCAGAGTGAGGCAGCGAAAAAGTGTGCGGGTGAGGTTGGAGCGCACAGCGCAGATGGGTACCAGGGCAGCGCTGTAGCACACAAGTGTCTGTAGGGAAGGAATGCCGTGTCGCTCCAATGCCAGGTGAACCCAGCGAGTCCTGCTTTCACCGCGGCCCGAGGCGAAGCCGCAGAGGAGGGGGCCGCTGCAGTCCGCCGAGTGACCCAAAGCCGTGATCAGGCACAGCACCGACACGCAGTCCATCTCCA